GTCCAGAAATCATGACCTATACCAAAAGTGGGCATTGCCCTGCCTATAGGAGAAGTTTGGTTTCATTGGTGTGTATATTTCTTTGATTATAACGAAAACTCTCCTTGTCTTTTAAAGAAACTGAACAAGGCCAAATCAGCATTGTTGTGCTTAAAAGTGACCAAATGCTTGTTTGTTTTCTTTGCTGGGTTTTTTTTTTGTTTTTTTTTTTGGAAGGCTTCTTTTTGTTTAAGATCTAGTTTAGTTTTAGTAAGAGGTTTACGCACTTGCAATACAATAACGTCATATAAAGTCATATAAATGCTGAAGATTAGATGAGTTACAAGAGAGTAACATACACAAAAAAAGGAGGAGGAGAGATAAGGACGATAGATATTTGATAGGAAAGAAGGAGCAAACCTCACATAACAACAATAATAACAACAACAACAACAACAACAACAACAACAACAACAACAACTGCAACAGCAACAATATCATCAATCATAAGGAGATACATCTCATCTCACCAACAGTCCGGTCATAGTTGGAGTGGTCGTGTACGGCCATCATACCGTGGCCCACGTGTGTGTTGGTGTAGTAGTCGTACATGCCCAGTGTGTCCCCTCGAACGATGTTCACGCCAGAGGCACCCTCAGATCGGACTCTGGGGGAGGTAGGGGTTTGGATTTTGAGACAATTTAGGTTAAGAAGGAGATGAGCATCTACATGAAAGTGCATATTATATGTCTGAGCTGATTTCGAAGTGAGTTTACTAGCTTGTCGCCCTGTTTGTTTGTTTGTGTGTTGGTTTGTTTGTGTGTTTGTTTGTTTGTTTCTTTGTTGTTGAGGTTGCTGTTACTGCTGATGTTGTTGCTGTTGTTGTTGTTTTGGGGTTTTGTTTTTTTCTTGGGGGGAGTTTTGGGTTTTATGTTTTTGTGTGTTATTGTTGTTGTTTTGTTTTGTTTTGTTGGGGGGGGGTTTGGGGGTGTGTTTTGTTCTAACCGCATGGGTTGGTGTCAGTGTTGTTTGCTCGTGTGTGAGTGTGTGTGTGTGTGTGTGTGTGTGTTTGTGTCGGTGTGCATGTGTCTCTGGGTGTGTGTGTGAATGTGTGTGTGTCTGTGTGTGTATGTGTGTGTCTGTATGTATGTTAATGTGTGTCTGTGTAAGTACAAATTTGTATGTCTACCATTTACCGACCTCTCCTCCGCAGAGAATTGCTGCATCATGGCGTATCGACTCAGTTTCGCCACGACATCTTTCAGTTCTGCCAACTGGTCCTTCAATTCGTTTACTTCTGTCTCCTGCTGATATCCTTCCGGGGCCTGTGACGTCACAGTGGCCGACGCCATTAAAATCACAAACACGCTGAGAGTCTGGAAATGATACCCCAAAAAAAATAATGCTTTAGTGACAATAACAGCATCCACAGAAAAACGCTTAAGTTATGGTAAGTATAAGCCGGAGAATAAGTAACGATTTAGTTATGGTAAAGGCACGCACAAGAGGTAAAAGCAAAGCAAGAACCGCAAAGGCATGGTCAAATTCGATCAATTAACGAAATTCTGGAAAGCAAGCAACATCTCACTTCGACTCTTTACTCTCAAGTCAAGTCTGTGCTCCTCTACGGCTGCGAAACTTGGAAGACAAGAAAGACAGTACTGAATAAAGCCCAGATTTTATATGAGGAGTATCCTAAGAATTAAGTGGTATGATAGAATAAGAAATGAAGAGCTGGGGGGAAAGGACAGGACAATAGGGCATAGAAGTAGAAATAGCACTATGAAAATGGCGATGGATGGGACACAGCCTTAGAAAGCCCAGCAGAAACATTACAAGAGAGTCGATGCAGTGGAACCCACAGGGGGCACGAAGCAGGGGTAGGCCAGGGGAGACATGGAGGAGATGTGTGGAAAGGGACATGAGAGAGATGAAGCTCACTTGGAAGGAGCTTGGAAGGATGGTCCAGGACATAGATAAAAGGAAGGAGCTTGTATGTGGCCTATACCCTGCCATGGGTGAGAGTCATTGATGACTGATGAAGAGTAAGCACAGAAGAAAACGTAACGTATTGGTTACGGTTAGTATAAGTTCAGAAGGAAAAAAAGTAATGATTTGGTAACGGCAAAGGTATGCACAGAAGAAAATGTAATGCTTAAGCTACTGTAAGAAAACGTAACTTTTTAGTTACAGTTAGTGAAAGCCTAAATGAAATAGTAGCGGCTTGGTTACGGAAAGGGCACAGATAAAGAACAGAAAAAACATAACGCTTTAATTAAGGTAAAGGTCACTGTACATCATGACTGTGTTTTCGTTTGTGTGTTTGTGTGTGTGTGTGTGTGTGTGTGTGTGTGTGTGTGTG